TCAAGAGCTTTTACAAAGTAAATCACATCTGGCGATTCCGATATGACAGGCCGTTTCACAAAGGGACTAAGGACAAGGAAAACGAATTCAAGGTAAATTACCATGCACTTTCTCAAGGTACTGGACCTATAGGTTTATTTGTAACATTAAGGATAGTTGTGTTATTGAAACATCATCTACAGTTGCGTTATTCAACTGTGGTATAACAAATCCTCTAGAGGAGACAGTAGCTCAGGTTTGACCATTTCACTTCTCATTTTAATTAAAATAATATGAAAAATATATGGCAGATGGAAAAGTCTTATTGTACATGGGAATAGGAGACAAAAAAGTACCCATTTGGTTTTGCCTCAGTGATATATAGAAGGCAGAACTGGAGACAGCAGAGCAGCCTCCAGAGCAGTTTATAAGGCAGATGGTAAACATTGTTAAGTAGGTAATCTGGGATATGGATAGGATTGCCAAAAGTTACGTCTCCCTAGAGCAAGGGAGAGACAGTTTTGACTAAACTGCAGCATAATGTTCTGTTCCTATGATATCAGGACTAAAAACTACCTCTAAACTTAGAGGTTGTCTCAGGGAAGAGCACTACGTCCTTCCCTAATACGTAAATGACTTCTGCTCCTCCTAATAAAAATGTCTCATTGAAAATTCATCTTATGTTCTTCTGGTGTAATTTTAATTCTGACCCACTAGAAACACTTTCATCCTGACGCAGGATATATTCTAGTATTCAGACACACAAAGAGAATTATCGCGTAATAATTTTGTTATAAAGTTAGAGGAAAGAATTGTAAGGGTAATAAATCGGCTAATGTAAGTCACTGCTGTCCTCTAATTAAAGCTTAGGGCCTTCATTTAATTGTATGTCATATATATTTTGAGTAAGAGCTATCCTATGTGTTGATTTGTCATTTTACAAACCTTCTGCATAAAGTGTTTAACAGTGGTACATTTGAGTATCCCATCAGCCATGCATCATGGAATCTCAAATAGGACTTCGTAGAGGAGAGCTTTAAGTTGTTCTGCTTCAGAACTCTCCCTCTTCTCAGATGTTATCTCGGAAAGGAAATATTAAAATGCTAATTTAGTTGTGAGTGACTTTTGGAGATTAGGGGACAACATATAATATAGAATAATACTATGTTTAAGAGTAAAGAATCAGCAGAAATTACTGCTTAGTAGTAGGTCCTAGAAAGTAAGGAGAAAAGTGAATGTTTTAGGCTTCTGGGATAGACATTTCAGGTGAAATTTGGATGTTAATACTTTTTTTTCATGTATACTTAAATGAAGGTATTCATAAAGAAAACTGGGAATAATTAAGAAAACTATAAAGGCAAATTAGGGAAATAAATTTGTTTTATATATTGTAGAGTCTATGGGTGGAGAGAACCACACTGATCTTGGTGCAGAGTTTGCCTGGAATATCTCGTTGGTTTGAAGTAGAAAAACGTGAAGTAGTGAGTATGAGACTGATCGCAATACACATTGTGGGTTGGTTTACTTCCTTATCCATATGTTACTTGATGATCTACTTTAAGATTCATTACCGTATCTAATTTCTTTGATCAGGTTTTCAAGCTGGCTACAACAAAATTATTTATAAAGTATTTTGAGTTGTCTGGTTTCTCTTATCTTGAAAAGTATTACTAAGAACCACCCATTATGAGTCATAAAAGAAAGAAGCTGAGAACAACAATGAGCAGCCAAAGGCAACACTTAATGTCGGCAAATTACTTTCTTAAAACTCAGCACGATGTAATGTTTAATACTTAGAACATCTATAGCTTAACATATCTTTCAGTATTCTTGAAAAGTAAACATTCTCCAAGTTCCTGTACTATAATAAACGCCGTGTGGGTATATCTCTGCATCTGCCTAGAGTTCTGTTGAAGTTCCCAGTTCTCAGCATGGGGAGGGAAGCATGCCTACGCGGAACCTGTAGGAATAGGGTCTAATGTGGCAATCTGGTACTGACACATTGTAATTTCTTCTCCTTCCATGTTGCTATATTTCTTAGAAAATCCTTAATACTTTTCAAATGTATTTGGAGCAGTGCTTCTCATGTAAAGATCTCTAAATAATTGGTCAATTGTTGAGCCCAAGAGTATAGCATCTGTAACCATTTTCCTTCCTGTGAAAGCCAGTCTTATAATAGGCCCATTAAATATAGGGATGCCATTGTGCACCTGATTTTCTCTAAAACTCTATTGTGGTTTTCTTCTATAATAGCAGCAAAATGTCATTTATTCACTGTCCTCATGTTCTTTTTTAGAAAACCAAAAATAGAATTTAGTAAAATTCAAAAAATTGTGTGTGACATGAGAAATAGTTAGTTGACTCCTACCGAGTCCTTACTAGGTTAATATGACCCTTAATATGAAGTTTCTCAGATTAATATTTTGTTACCATCATAGTCACCATTTCCAAAAGTTAACTGTAATAATTTTTCCTGGGCATGTACTAGACCATGACCCAGATTTGTGCTTGTACATTTTGGTAAATTATGGCAACTGCAGGCCTATAGTCTTCCCATCACTTAGCATTTCCCTTTTCCTGCAGTTCATGCTACCTATGAGAAAAGCTTCCTTGCTCTCTACAGAGGACAGGCACATCCCGCTGAAGGGCTGCCTTTGACTATAACTTGATTATCAACTTAGCTCAAAGCTTACATTCAAACTCCTCATCCATAATGTCTAGTTGTTGACTTCCCTTTGGGTGGGGGAACTATCTCGCCCATACTTAAGCTCTGCTCTGTGCCCTTAAGCTCTCTCTGACCTCAAGCCCAATTTAGGTAAAGTTACCAAGGACAGTTTAGCTCTGAATTCCAAGAGTTCCACCACAGGCTGAAGTATGTTCTTCATATGTGGCTGAAGTATGAAGTTCAGTTCTGCAGCAAGGGCTGAGTATCTCTCAAGGTCAAATAGTGAATCTACAAGAGAGGGACAGTTGTTTCTTTTGATCCTTGATTACGTAATAAAATTAATTCTCTCTGTGCTCAGGGTGTACACTCAGAGAGTATAGCCCAGGTGAGAACAACTTTTTCTGCCCCAATGCTCTAGAACATAGAGTAATGTTGTTTTCTTTTAAGAAATCAAAAATTACCTTTAATATATTTCATCTTTCAACTGAAGATTAAGTACGTTTGCAATGTTCCTCACTTCCCTTTTAGGTGGAAATGAGTCCCCTTGAGAATGCTATTGAAGTCTTAGAAAATAAGAACCTGCAGCTGAGAACCCTGATTAGTCAGTGTCAAACTCGACAGATGCAAAATATTAACCCTCTCACAATGTGTCTAAATGGGGTTATTGATGCAGCAGTTAATGGTGGAGTTGCGAGATACCAAGAGGTAAGCAATCTATTTTCTCATTATTAAAAATCTGTCATAAGACAGTTTCTTACTGATTTCTTTTCCTGTACAGATAGAGCTCCTCTGTATGAATTGAGGACAGAAAGAACTATATCAGTATTAGTTTTAATTATACCTATATTGCAGATTTGGATGAGGTGATGTTAAATATGTACGGTGTTATTGAAACAACCGTTTTGCTGAAGATAGTCCCATAAACTTCAGTTGATTCACAATTACTTTCCATTCTTTAGTGTTTTGTATGAGGATTTTTAATGAAATAATTAATTGTAACTATATTATTCTAATATATTCCCTCCCTCTTGCCCTTCTAGGTCAGGAGCTACTTCTGGCCGACCAGCAAATTTACTTTGGGTGCTGACATTCTAATTTTAAGATATATATATATACACAAAATTCTTAACAAAAAAAATTATTATCTTGAAGAATCATATTTTTCTAGATCCTTCTTCCTTCTCTTCTCCAAGTTTTTAAGGAAAGCTATTTTTCTGGAAAAATCTAGTAGGAAATAATACATATTATTAAGAAATATCTAACACTGGATTAGTTCCTAAAAGTTGTTCCTCATTATTATCATCTTTGAATCACCTTAGGAGAACCTTAAATGTTTGGGATGCTGTATTTCCATAGAATTTCTGTGGAATTTTGAAACTGCAGTAAAAAGAAAGAAAGGATTTTATTTTTTTTTTCAGCCCAGCTTGATCCTTCTTCTTTCTCATAATAGTCTTATGAAATACTTTAATCTGCTGGTTGTTCCTTTTCCATTGAAAATGTCAAGTTGAGTAACATTCTGTCCACTTGTCTGAAAGGCTGCAAGATTCAGTGTTCACTCAACAGTCTTAAATTTGATAAAACTGCATCTAAATTAAACTACAAGAAATTGAGTCCGCTATAGTGTTTAATCTGTCATCAAAACTGCAAGTTATGAAAATTGTGAGACTAAACCAAAGCAGTACCATGTTTGATGTTTCCCAGCTGCCTTTAAACAACAACAACAAAACTGTTTAGCATAGTAAAGCCCCATGAATGGAGTCCCTTGAGAAATACAGTCATGGCAGAGCTACGTCTGGTTTGAATTAGCGGTGTCAGAGCTAGCTCGGTGTCTCTGCATAGCTTTCCATTCTTCACGAGCATATTAAATGTTCTAGCTTGCTCCTTTCTTACTGTTGTTTTTAGCTGCAATTCTTGATCTCCTAGACAGTCTTCAGGTCCTCTCCCTCTCTCTCGCTATATATTTAAAATAGGTCTTTTCACCAATTTATGTTGGAAAGACCAAAACTGATAGCAATAGTTGTGACATCTGGTGGCTGGTTTTTTCTATATCATCATCCTTCTCTTTGCATGTCCCTTTTGCAGTCTTTATATGTCTTCCTACTGTTTTGCCGCATCTTATCTTCTACCTTCCTTCCTTTCCTCTCTTCTGTAAATGCGTTTCTCTGCCTATCTATTTCACCTGCTTTTGCCTTCTGCCCTATACAAAGCTCAAAACTCGAGTCAGTCCTGGAGCATGTGGTCTTGAGGTGAGCATGACCATGTCTTTACAGATATCCTCCTTCGCTTCAGGCAACTTCCAAGCTTTAAGAAGTGCTAAGACCCAGCAAACAACCACCTCTGGCCAGCTGCTGCCTTCTTGAATCTGCCTCCCTTTTCCCTTTTCCCCTGATGGGATAAAAAGCAGCTATCTCTAATTATTCAGCACTTCAGCCAGTATTGCAGATGTTAAAGCTGTGCTTTCACTGGTTTCAATACAGGAACAGATTCCAGGAAAATCTACAGAAGTAATAGTTATTATGTGGCACCTTACTGTGTGCTAAAATGGCGGTATACTGAACCACTGATTTTTATTTTTTTTTAATTTTCTGAACACTGCTGGATGAGCGTGTTTTATGCCCCATAACACCTCTCAAACTGCAATTTGTACTATAACTTAGATTTCTTTTAGCTCCTTTGTATGTGCTAGAAGAGTAGAGGCACTTTCATGATTAATTATTGGAAGCTATCAGTTCCAAGAATGCTACTGGATTTAGCCAAATTCTGATTATTTTTTTTTTTTCTAAAGTACTGGTGATTTTGTTTGAGGTTAGATTATTACATCTCTGACTCATATTACAGATCTGTATAAATCTCAGCCCAAAACCACTGGGACACCACCTGCTTGATATTGAAAGAACATTAAGCTTGTAGCTGAGGGAAAAAAAAACATCAGCTGGCAGAAGTTTGGGATTTTAGCAAGTATCAGAGGGTTCCTTTTAACAATTTAAACATGAATTCTTATGATTCTACTTATCTGCAGGGGAAGGACCATGTGAAATAAATGTTCTTCATTACAGTATCAGCATTTTCTAGACAGGTCTCAGCGCTTCCTTGTTACGGGTTGTCATAGCATGAAATTTTGGAACTGAATCAGAGGAAGGGATATATTTATCTCCAGCTCCACTGCTCCCCATATTTACTACTGATTCTGCATAGCAAAGATTTTAAGAGCTAAAGTTGGATGGAAAACCTTGTAAGAAGTATGTGATGGAAATGCTAAGACAGGTGCAAAAGGAAAACACAGCACAGGACAGCCACTGTTATCCTCTCAACTCTATGGATAGAGAACCATGTGTATGTATAGGTATGCGTACGGAGACTTTTTGTGACAAATGCATATTTGGGAAGGTCTAGAAATCTTTCAACTGAGCAGCTGGGCATTTTCTCTACAGAATAGCGTCAAGATTTGTTGTAAATTCAATATAATCCCCTTGCAGAGTAGGATAGGTGCTACGTTAAGAAAGATGCGATTGTGAACAAACAGGGGACTGCTATGTCCAGACCATTGCTGGTGGGTAAAATGACTTTGGAGTACTATGACCGATACAATTTGAGCATTGGAAATGGGGTGGAAAGTCATATACGTTCATGAACACACCTGGATGTTGGTCAGGTGCTCCTGAAGTGAAAAGCGTGGCTTTTTGACATAAATGTCACCGAGTTCTTTAAAGTATTATTTATATTAAGAGTGAATAAGAAGATAATGTCACAGCTCCAATACATAAAATGGCATACAATTCTATACTATTCTTAAGATATCTTTATTTTTAAGGGATAATGAAGCTCCTAGTATGAAAAAACAGGAAAATCTAACTCTTTGTAATTATTTGAAACTCCTAGGTCACAATTAACGGGGAAGAGATACTTAGTTCAGGTGACCTGTGTTTGGTTTCAACTCTAATTTGCAAGTTTCCAAATTTGATTGGGGATCTGTCCTGGATATTGAACAACTGGTAAATCCACTCAAGAGTAGCTACATTTTATTTTCCCATAGTCTCCACCAATGCATATGTGAATAATTAATTATTTAGCATTTATTATCCTCTGTGGCAGTAGAAAGCCGCCTTTTTTTTTTTTTTTGGTAAAAATATCATCTAGAAACTTGTTTAAAAAAGACGTGATGTGTTTTTACTCACTTTATGTTACTTTGTGATTTTATTCTGCTCAGGCATTCTTTGTCAAAGAATACATCTTGAACCATCCAGAAGATGGAGAGAAGATCACACGCTTGAGAGAGCTGATGCTCGAACAGGTAAAGTGGGGAAAAGACTGACTAGGTGGCCTGCTCAGATGTTCTAGTTAAAAATGTCCCAAAATAAAATATAAAATTTTAGAGGTTAATAATTTCCCAGTGGTCTTCAGTATTTTCTGAATTAGATTCCAAATAAATAGCAACTTCCTATACAAGCAGGTTTGAGGGTCACATTAATATTTTTTTCCGTAGTCCTTTTCATCATCATCTTAATCACTTCAAACTATTCTAAATTAAACGTTGAATGAGAGGCAAGGTTTTGTCTTGTGAGGATCATATGCAAATATTTGCACAACGTATTTTACCACTACTACAGAAAAACACTGTCTCATTTGAAACATTTGATGGCTTCAGCAAATATTTGTATGACATGTTTTACCACTACTACAGAACAAACATTTTCACTACAAGGTCTAGCATAAGAGGAAAAAAAACAGAAAAATCTTATTAATGGAAGACATCTAATAATAATTGCCAAAGAAGGTAGGCAGTAAAATAAACACCAGGTTATTAAATTAGACAGGTGAGTATTCTATACATTATATTATTTTTGTATTATTTTTTCATTTATTTATAATGTAATGACCTACCAGCCTCAAATATGAAGTGCCTATATTTGGAAATGCTGAAAAAAATTATTGTTATCAAATGACCTTACTAAGTATTTCAGCTTTTTTAACTGATGTTTACCTATCTTTGTTCTATGCAGCATGTTGAAATTTCAAACTTTATTTCCAGCTTGGGATAAAGAGGTCAGAGTATTGGAATTTGGCAAGATGGAAATTTCACTTTTCATCAGCATTGTGGTATCTTTTGGTCAGATCAGCCGAAGGAGAGATCATCAGACAGTACAAATCAGAATAGGTTCTCTGAGCTCACTTTAATTTCATCCAAATAATGTATAATTTACATTGCGTTTTCGGTTTTTTCAAGCTTAACCCTTACAATTTAAAACTGGAGTTAACTTCCTGTGACAAAAACGTGAATTCCAAGTGAGAGCAATTAAACCCTATCTGGCACCCACAGCTGATTTAACAGACAGCGTGGAACACTCAGGAGGGCCGGAGTGGCCGTGTGTGTGGATGGATGATGTGCTGTGGTCCTGACCTCGGGTCAGCGATGCTGCGCAGCTGCGTGCCCGCTCGCAGGCTGCCTGAAAACGTCAGCGAGGAGCTCCCGTCCAAAGCTATTACAGCATGGTGTAGCTATTTTGTTTTTGAGTTTATCTGATTCCTCATGTAACCAATTCAGTATTTTAAATGCCTGTGACCAAATTTGAGCAAGATTAGAGTTTTAGCAATGTTATTCTGAAGCCTGTCATGCCTTGCATCAAGAATATACATAAAGCCACAACTTATTGGGGTCTCTGGGGATTTGGAATAGGATAAGGAACTATGGACTTCATCAAAAACATATTACAGGGTCTCTGGTGGATGTGGCTATTACTGTGGTTTATGATTTTTATAACTGTTCTTGTAGAAAACTGCTTTTATTTAGGGTTTAGGACTGTTCCTTTGTAAAGTTGTCATTTAGCCAGATTTTTCATTATGTTATCCACAGTGGGTTTTATACTAGAATGAAATTCATGTCTGCCAAATCTTTGGGAAAATTGAACAGTGAAATGGGAAGAGGCGTAAATCCTCTTGTGTATTACTGGTTTTGGTCTTAGGTCTTGTTTGATTGCAGGTCTGTCAGGGTTTTAGATGCTTTTAATACAATGTGCATTTGGTTGGCTTTTTTTTTTTTTTTTATTAGTATCCTAATTAATGATGAAAGCTTAAAGAAAATGGATCAAAAAGGTACTTTCCCCCTTTTTCCTCCTGTCTCTTCTGCAGGCCCAGATTCTAGAATTTGGCTTGGCGGTGCACGAGAAGGTAGTGCCACAGGACATGAGGCCATTGCACAAAAAGCTGGTGGATCAGTTCTTTGTGATGAAGTCAAGCTTGGGAATACAGGTACATGAGCCCGGATAAACCAGGAGACCATTTAGGTGCAGTAAGGGTTGTTTAATTTTCTTAAGCAATAAATAGTGACATCTTCTGGTTGTTTGTCCACATTACATCTTGTAGGATTCTTAACAGTACCACATAGCAGACAAAGTTAATAAACTTTCCAGGCAGTGCAGAGAAAAATAGGCACATTTTACTAAAGAGAAAGTATCATCAGTGAAAAGTTAAAATATTTTTCTTACTAATGATGAAGCTGGTCCAAAATGCAGATGTTACTATTCAAATGAGTATCTGTATCTTACAAAATGCCTAATGATATTATGTCCATTTTAATTAACCTTCTTTTAACAACTCACCAGGAATTTTCTGCCTGTGTACAAGCTAGCCCTGTTCATTTCCCAAATGGAAGTCCTCGTGTATGCCGAAATTCCATACCTGTTTCTATGAGCCCTGATGGTGCCAGGGTAATACCACGACGCAGGCAAGTTAAAATACTAGAAATTGATAGATTTTTTTACTCACAGAAGATGACCCATTAAATACTTATATTGTGTGTGTGCTCCCTCGTATGGTCCACCTGAAGTATCTTCAATCATGGATACCTGATATATATATGCCCTCTCTCTCTCCCTGCCTCCCTGCCTAGACCCCCCTTCCCGCCCCAATAAATCTAAATCAAACTGTGGAGATTAATAAACATGGGCCGCTTTCACATGTAAAAATATAATTGGAAACTAGAGCTAACCATTTGGTATTTCATTATTCTTGTAATAGTCCCTTGAGTTACCCAGCTGTCAATCGGTATTCATCCTCATCACTGTCATCCCAAGCTTCTGCTGAAGTCAGCAATATCACTGGGCAATCAGAAAGCTCCGATGAAGTTTTTAACATGCAGGTACAAATTATTGTCATTCTTCAAACTAAACAGAATCTTTCTTACAAGGTTATTTACTAAATTAATGCTTCTGTTATTTCATTCAGAAATCTTAAGTTATTGCTGATACTACTTTTAAAAGCCAAATGTTTAAATGGGCTGTTAACCTCCCTAACTTAGAAAGAACAATTTTTTATGTAGCTGTAGTTTCTTCTTTAACTTAGAGTATGGTTATTTTTACAAAAGTAGTAAGCAGCAATGCACTATGATGCAAAGTAATCTGACCTTACATAGACTTTTCTGTCCAGTTGTTACAGTTGTGATGTAATTGTTTTAATATATTAATTACATTTCTATTTATTTGATATTTTACTACATCTTTGGGTAGTTACATTAATGCTCTTTATATTGGTTTGCTATTTTGAAATACTGAGAAACTAGTCTAACTAGTCTACAAGTTCTTTGTTTTAGTGAAAAGTATGTTATAAATGTTTGTTTTCCAAACCAGTAAGTGTGATGTGGTAACAACAGCATCTTTTCTATCCATAGCCTAGTCCATCTACCTCAAGCCTGAGTTCTACTCATTCTGCTTCACCTAATGTGACCAGTTCTGCTCCATCCAGTGCCAGAGGTCAGTACTTGTCTGCCGTAGTAAACCATATTAAATGATTCTTGATACATTACACAGCTGAATTTCTGTATGATATCACTGGTCAGACATCAAATTTAGCCAGTTGTTTGAGGAATATGAATTACTGGGGACAGAGGATTTCTTGGTCAGAAGCATAAAATTGTAATGTCTGAGTTTCGCTACATTAATTTAATCACTTGACACATTTATATTCTAGCCTCTCCTCTGTTGTCTGACAAACATAAGCATTCCCGAGAAAACTCTTGCCTGTCCCCAAGAGAGAGGCCCTGCAGTGCCATCTACCCTACTCCTTCAGAAACCTCGCAGGTAGGAAGCTTGTTGGGAGTCCTCTGAACACAAGTAGCTAAGAAGATGATAAAGGCATTTGTTGAACTTCGAGCAGATTCAGCGTCTGCTCACTGCTGTTAATTTTCAAGAATTTTTTGTTTTGTTTTTATAAGCACGATACTCTAAAATGTTTTACATGAGAGATGTGAATAGACTACACAGTGCGTGGTCACATTTCTGCTTCCTTTGTCTAGGTTTAGAGCTGGTTTTCAATATTTACTCACTGCAGTGAGAGATAGATGCAAAGACTTACCAGATGATACAGCCTGCTTGTGTGAAACAGCAGCATTTGTTCAATCTAGGGAAGAAGAAAGAAAGAAAAACTATTATCACGGCAGTTGTCCGTGTTGACCTCCCCTTTATTTCTTCTGAAATAGCTGATCCTAGCCACTGTGAGATAATAACCCACTCCATGTGGCAATTGCTATTTTTCAATGTAGTTTCAGGAAAGAAAGAAAGACATTTTGTTACTCTAGAGAAAAGAATTACTTGAGTTTTCACCTTTAAATTACTGTTACATAGGTCTGTATGAAATGTGTATCTTTTGAGTTATCTGAAATGCAAAATAAGCTTGGTAAGCTGGCCAATTTTGAATCCTTATTTCATCTTTTCTTCTTAATGGACCTACTTTCCTAAAGCACTTTCCTTTAACACAGTTGCTGTTTTAATCCATGCCATCACACAATGCACATCTTGCTGAAGCTGAGAAAGACAAGAACATAAGTGCAGCGTGAAAGGCCCCCCTCTCAACACTCCCATTTCCACCAGAAATTTTGCCTATGATAAAAAAACAACTTGGTAGTCCAGGATCCTTTGTTTTAGAAATGATTTGTTGGTTTCTCATTAGTTGTATTCTTGTCCTTTACTTCTTCAGTTATTGAATTGGCTCTTGATTTAATTTTTTCCTCTTTTCTGTTTAAGCCCTCATGCTGTTACGGGAGGGCTTAAGAAGTAATCCTGAAGCTTAGTCAGACTTAAGGGCAGTTCTTGCGAACTACTTACTGATATATCTGCTGGACACTTTCTCACTGATAGTGGAGCCAAACCAACACACAGGAAAGACCAGGAGATGTTCTTTAAATAAAGCGGTTTTACAGTTTGCCGCATAGAAAAAATTATCCCATTTTTGCTCCCAGACTACAAACTCTTGCTTTGCCAAGTGGAATGCGACTTCTGTCCCCCACTCTACCCGAGATTCGATAAGGGAGGCTGAGGAGCTCGTAGGCCCAGTCTCCACTCTCTCTGAGACTCGCCCGGCAGGAAAATCTCCCAATCTGTCTCTACCCTCAGTGTCCCAAGAGAGGGTAAGTAGAAAATGAACTTGCTCGTACAGTGAAGTATGTTTCAAAGGTGAGAAGGTCTGACAGTTTCTTTCTGCCCTCATAACCATAAATGAGGATATATCTTTCTGGGGAAAGGTGCAAATTCTTGCTCTTGCTCTATTCTGCATGCAGTAAAAATGGACTGTAATCAGAAACAAAATTCTGATTCTCTGCCTTCTGATTAAGAAGGGAAAAAGAAATCCTCAGGACAATTGTAAGGAGATATCTTAGAGATACCTGCAACTTTCATTAGAATTTAGATGCTCAAACTGTTCCTTGTCCTTTCTATTTTTATTCTAACACCAGTTAACTTCAACAGTCTTGGTTGGAGCTTCACATTAAGTTAATGAGGAAAGGCCCACCCGTTGATGAATGTCTTTGTTATGTCTTAATGAATGCAATTTTCACAATCATTTTTTCAACTGTGAAAGATGAGATGCACAGGCAAATTCCTGCACTTCAAGTTCCAATCAAGTCCTTTCAGGCCATAGCTACCTCATTTAAGGAAGTTTGATGGACTTCATAGAAGAAGACCACAGCAATACTGCATCTGCTTCCCTCATTGAAATTGATGCTCAAGGTTATCTATGTACAGCTGTTTTCAGTCAACATCCATTTGTGCTTGCTTTTTGATCTCTGGCTGAGCAATTGTACTGTGTCTCTCCAGCTCTTCCCATGCTTTGAAGAGGAATGCCTGCTGTCATTGACTGGTCAACAAGCCTCCTTAGTTTTTGCACTATTGTTCTTCCTAATGGAGCTTTTGGGGTTTCACGTTTTGGGGGGGGTGGGGGGTTGCATCTCATTAAACATCCTGTGATTGCTCTTGTTCTTCCATATGGTTTTATATTTCATTATTTTAGTATGTCCTCGTTTCTCTGTATTTCATTCAGCTTTGCTCTTTATCTCCTCCAATTTCAGTCGCTTTTTCAGCCTTTGCTCTTTACCTTTGCAACAGAAAACAGACTTCAACGCTTGCCCGCCAGATCCTAGGGCACTGCAGACTCACTGGGCAGTGAACGTTCAATCCAGACCAGGCAGGAACACGAGATCACATTTTCTGTCACACTAGAGCACACACGTAGTTACACCACCTCAGTTTAATGGTAACTCTAGGAAAACAGATACTACCTGATCCAGTATGACTCTAGTGCAGCATAGACAGGCAAACCTAGTGTAGCTCAAAGTCTACCAAAGCATTCTCTCTATGAGATGTTTTAAGTCAAGTTGAATTGGCCAAGTATTTGCTCCTCAGTTTGTAACACAGAGCTGCAACATGTTAGATCAGTGATGATCACTTTGCAGCTGGGTTTGCCATCTTGTGGAAGCTCAGCATAGTGCCTCGCTGACTCCACATGGTCCTCTGTGAACACTGGAAGGAGATACAAGAATGAGATTTGATTTGATTTGGATTTCACTGATTGCCTGATCTTGCTTTTTAAAAAAGGCGGGGGGGACGGGGAGGGAAGTAAAGTTTATCTCTTCTTATTTCCTTTGGGAAGTACATCTGAATTACTCGTAGCATTACCCGTATGCTGTTTACGTCTGTTATCAAGACAAACTAGTGACCCATGGATTATTTGACTGCTCCCAAAATAAATAACTAGTGGAATTTTTAAGTTGTTTCATAAATTTATTGTGGGTTGTGGTTTTGGTTTTTCTTTAAATGACTATTCAGAAAATGAAAGACAAACACACTTTAAGGGTCAGTTCTTATCCACATGAGAAGTAAGAACACTACTACCAAAAGTCAGGGTTGGAAATAATACACAATGCTCTTCTAAGATAACAGCCATCACTTGAATATTGTCAAACATTAAACCTTGCTCAGATCCTGATTCTGCAATGAAATTATTGCAGATCTGTCCCTGCATTTGTTTAGTAACCTACCAAGATACCCCTTGAGGAATGAACATTATTTTGTTTTTTAGGGAGCTGGAAACTGTCAGAACTCAGTACATAATAATCCTCCCTCTGATTCCAGTGTGTACAGTTTTAAAAAAAAAAAAAACAACTAGTCTACTCCCTATTTGTATGCACATATTTTTATTAAACTATTTATGTTCTTAGGTGATGTTTATCACTCTACCTCCAAAGTAGATCTGTGTGGTAGGGGAAAATAACAAAAAGATATTTGTTTTCTTAAAGGCTACTGAGATACAACAGCAGCTATGTCTAAACCATGCTGTTCTCAATTTACAGAGAATGCTGTTTAATCATATTGGAGATGGTGCTTTGCCACGAAGTGATTCCAATCTGCCTGGCCCGGACAAAGGTGAGCGGAAATGATGGACCATACCAAACTTGGAAGCAATGAAAATATAATTAATCTGTCATACTCCTGTAGAATGCTAATTCTTTAGAGTTTATATTGTCATCTTGCATTTTCAAAACATTCTAACTATCTAAACTATGCTAACACTGTAAGTTTCAAAACACTTTCCCAAAAAGGGGGGAACATGGTGTTTGTTTGAACTGAGTGTTGCACTCAGAAGGGCCCAGAAGTTTGCAGGAAGGGGTGATGGAGCAGCAGGTTGCAGCCGGCTGCCTGTGAGAGCTGTCCTTTCTGCTTCTCAAGAGAGACATACGGGGCGATGAACCCTGAAGATAAACTTCTGGAGACTGGGGCAGAGAGATGGGTAGAGTCCTGAAGTTTGGTACCTGCAACTCCTCTTCACCAAATATAAGTCACTGCGCTTTTGGTTACGCTTTGATGGAAAAGATCAATTTGTGGTTTGTTTTTTTGTTGTTGTTTTGGTTTTTTTTTTAATTAAAGTAAATAAGAAACCAATGAATTTCCATAAACAAAATATTGCCTTTTATAATTTTGTGCATGGGGAAATTCAATATTGTTGGCACAGTTATATTCTCAAGTTTTCATTATGTGCTCCACACCCATAATATGCTCCATCATTTCATGGTGTGCTGCCCTTCGTGGTATCCTGAATAGAGGATACAGTAAAACAGGTGTATTGAAAATATTTTTTTTTTAAGAATATACTGTAAGGAATCAGATTTTCATCAAAAAGAGCTGATTTTTGTAAGTTTTTTTGTGTCCAAGTTTTTATGAAAGCTCAAGCATGGAATTTTTCACAGGGCTGAAAAACATATGAAATAATTTAACATGGAAATGGCAAAACTTTTGCAGTGGCCTGTGCAGCCAAGTACGCTACAGAGTTGTTAAAATTAAATATGCTCTCCTGGAGACTTTAGCAGTCCAAAGAACTGACTGCTTGGATGACTTATAAGAAAAAATGGCTTGTCAAGAGATTCAGGCATTTCAAATACCCAGGTCTGGTGCCAAGCCATTTTTAGGATGAGGGCAAAACTATGCTGCTAGGTGACAGCCTACAATAAAAAGCAAACCATGTATTGTGTATTTTGGCAGTCAAAAAGCAAAATGATCCTCTAGAAAACAGATTATTCTGTGCACTGTTCTTGGGGGTCAACTAATGTGCAATTATACTATAACAAAGTTGTTACAGTTATGAAACAAATACTATTTGTACTGTACTTTTTGTATTAAGTCTGGTATGTATTGGTATAGTGGGATTCTCGTCCTGAGAGCCCTTGGTGTTGCTATAATAGCAATAAGTGATACCATCAGTTTAGCAACAATATTTTGCTTTTCGCTTCATCTTTTGTAAATGAGCACAGAGTCCTTGTATGTGGTTCTCTACTCACAACTATGAAATAAGCACTCATTGTCATGACAAGGCAAGAGGTTTGAGGCTTTGAAAGTGTGAGGGGTTGGTGGGTTTTGGGGGAGAGGAGAGAGGAGGGGGGGATTGAAGCAGGTTTTTTTCCATTTTTTTTACAGGATGTGTAAGAAAAATTGCGGGGCTTAAGTTAGCTTTTGTCCTGTCCATGTCAAATGCACTGTCTGACTTCTTTCCAATACTGGTGGTTACTTGATAACATGAGATAATCCAGTTCTATTAAGGAAGCTGTTCCAGGCCTTATGGGATTGTTCAATTATAAAGTCATAGAATTTGGTACAAGTCACATAACAAATACAACAGCCAATTTTATACATGTCAGGGTGATTGTCAGTTTATGTGATCAAGTAGAGATCCTCAACCATGGCTACAAACAGTGTATATTTTCTTAGTCCACAATAATTTTTTCTTTTTTTTTCTTTTTTCCCCAGCCATCTTCATTTCTTTAAATTTTTACTCTCTTCATTTTGTGCCCTTCTTTCCCCTTTCCTTCAATTCTGAATTTGTTGCCTGCCCAGGCAACAAAAGACTGAAAGCTTTCTGAGGGAGGTTGATTGGAATTTGGCGAGTTCCTTTCTCTAGTCCCTTCTGTATATAAAATGAGTTAATGGAAACGGTTTATGAATAGCCTGTTCCTCTCTGCCTAGAAACCTTTAAATAGGAGTCTGGTGCAAAGATAAACTGATTATATTAACAGGCTTCAAGCTTATCTCCCTTTGTGGCTGGATTTGCAGTGCACCAGAGTGCTATCTCAGCTCCTGCTGTTGTTGATGGTCCCAACTGCTACACAATTCCAAACTGACCTGAGGGCCAGATGCATACATCAGGCAACCAGAAGATCGACAGGCATTATTTAAGAGCTTTTCAAATGCTGATGTAATGATGAGAGCTTTTCAAGCATGCTTGTTAAGTTGTTTAACGTTTTCACTCTGTGTTATTTTACCCTCATGGGTAAAGGCAAGTCTGAGAGTTAGAAGCTTTGACGCCTATATCAGGTTTTTCATTCTCTTCCAGCTGTAAACACCACCCCCAGCAGCTGGAGCCTGGACAGTGGGAAGGAAGCCAGAAACACATCAGAAAGTGGAAAGCTTATATCTCCTCCTGTACCACCAAGACCTGCACAGACTGGTGAGTTAATGGACATTTCAGGCTAAGGTCCAGTAAAAAAATTTTTTACTTGAGGGCTTAGATTCTTTCCATTCTGATTAATGTTTAACTTCTTTGTCAGGTTAATTTATTATTTGATTACTTACAGGGAAGGCTGTAGAACTGCCTCTGCAGGTATTTTCATCTCCTTATATGTTTTCTCTAGCATTCTGTTTTCAATACTCTGCCCCTTCACCTAATAACTAAGTAGTTTCAGACAGTTCATGCTAGTACTAGGGAGGATGATCAAATTTAATCTTTTGAGCTTATGACAATTGGACGTTAGCAATCAGAAATGATCGTTAACCACAAAGAATCTTACTGGCCAGAAAATGCACAGAAATCATGGAAGTACATGAGTTCTGTTGCTATAACCAATTTGCCTTTCAAAAGATTGATTTCCATTTAAAGAAAAGCCTGCTTAAGTGATCCTATAAATATAATTGTTCTCAAGGGAGCGAAGATGCTTTTTGTGTTTTAGACTTATGCCTCAAAGTATGTCCAGGCATGTTTGCAATATATTTACAGGTAAATATTTGATGTAAGTACACTATGTATTGTCTTTTTTTCTTATTTGGCATACAAATACATAATATATTTCTTAAGAGAAGAAGAAAAAGAGGAGGGGAAAAAATTAGTATACTGACTTTTTTTGAATCCTGGTATCATTTGATAGGATATAAACCAAGTTACAGTAGTATAAAATTTGTCAGAGAAGATGGATGCAGAAATTCCTTATACTTCATTGGTTATACTGCAAGATCATTCTGAGGACAAAGTAAAATAAACAAAATCTGTAAAACTATTTGCAGCCATCAGGCACGTACCTAGAGGGAACCTGAGATAATGCTTGTGTATAGAATGCTCTCCTATTCACTTGAAAAGATTTCTTAGCAAAAATTGTAATGCCAAGAGCGCACTGAAATCTTTCTAACTTTACAGCATCACCAGCAAGACACATAGCCTCCGTTTCCCCTTCTCCTGCTGGCAGATCACCAATGAAGGTACTGTCTTATTGAAGTGAATTGCCTTTGTGGGACAGATCATACGTGTTGTGGGGTAGATAGTATATATTTAATATACATTATTTGGGGTTATAGCATGTTTTCCTTTTATTATCATATGCCTATACAAAAACCATTCACAAGAGTAAGTAGCCATAACAATTACTCTGAAGGCTCTGAAGATTGTCAAAACTGCAGGCAAGAAACCTAATGTTCAGACTGTTTAGCCTCTCAATATTAGGCTTCTAACCTACATGGATACATCAAGCTCACCTGTGTCAGTGGATAGTAGGGAATGTAAGAAAGAAATATAAGAACTGCCCAATGGTCCAGAATTCTGTCTCCAAGAGTGGCAAAAGGGGAGATGCCAGCTAAGAAGAACCTGTTTTTCAAACCATTGCTCTTACTCCTCTATCACCCAGAGCTGTTAGGTTAGAGGGTGTGTTAGAAAGTCACCCCTGCTTCAGGCATTTTAGTATCCATTTCCTCTGCAGATCGATGCAGCGAGATTGTGTAAGAAGGTGGATGCAGTTTGAAGCCTGACAGTAGGAAGCATTAAGCACAGGCTGTGAATAAGCATTGCTGCTTCTCTGGCAGCTAAACACCCGTAGCAATTGAGGATCCAGGCTAAACTGAGCAGGTTTCATTTCTGCTTCAAGATACTTGAATGTGTCAGTACCCGCTAGTTGCACAACAGCATATTGGTTAGAAGACTTGACCAGGAAATCTGTGTCTTTTGCAGCACTGGAGCACAGGCACACGCAGCCTGCACGTTCCAGGCAAACCCCGGTACTGACAGACCGCACGTTAGTCGCAGGGAGAGACTCTACCACCCCACTGAAGCTGAGATAATTCTGCAGTTAGAAATATGAGAGTCAACAATCTGGAAGGAGAGCAAATAGAAAGGAGTGTGACTGGGCCTTCAGGTGCGAGGGCAGAGGGAGGCAGCCCTGCTGAGGTGGTCCCTCAGCTACCCAATGCCTAACTAACGCTGCAGAGCTACGCATCTCTTCAGGAGGAGAAAAGCGGCACCCTAAAATGCTTCCTGTCCCCTTGAGGTCCCTAATCACAAGTCCACAGTCATTCTCCTGTGATCCCATGAGCCTGTAACATTTCCACTTGTGGTTGCACAGTGGTCCGGGTTCAACACAGAGCAATTGTGCTGGCCCTCAGAGTGCCCCGTAATCCTATTGCCATAGTATACCTTCTGCTGAAGGGAGCACTGATCCCAGGTTTCACACTAGCTGCTTATTAGGAAGCTCTTCAGAGCATTAGGATCTTGTACAAAAGGTGAGAGACTCTTCCTTTTTTCCTGAATGGACTCAGTACTGATGATTCTTAGGGGTGTTTCAAGCTTGTCCTAACATTTTCTTCTAAAGGCCTGGGCAGAATTTAAGCATTTTACAGCCAGAGCCTGGATTGCCACTTGGGAGAGGAATGCTGGCCCAGAATAATTGTGAGAGTTGCTGGATCTCACTCTGAGCATTCATGAATTTCCAGACTGTTTTGGTGTCTAGACTGTTACTGACTACTGGTACAAGCAGTCTGCACTGCTGTCGGGAACCAAATGCCTACCCCTGCTCAGCTCCTAAGTTGAAGCAGGCAGTATTTACACATATTTGCTCTTGTTCTAAATGACAAAGACAAAAGTCCTAAATCTTATCTATGGGCACTTAATCCAAGTGTCAAGTGTTCTTGGAACTTGAACCAATTACATCATTTATTTGAAAACCTTGACCCTGGATGCTTGTTCGGGCAGGAGCACAGCTTGCAGCCTCCTCACGTGCAGAGGAATGGAACATGAAACAAGTAGTTAAACAGGCTCCTCGCAATGCCTGAAATGTCTTCAACGTGTATTGAGCTTTAAATAACACTTGGTCTGCTTTTCCCTAGCCATACATAGAGCTCAGTTTTTAGCCTTTGTTCCAACTGTTGTGTGCTGCCAGAGAAGGCCATCTTAGTACAGAACCCACTGATGCAAATGAAGGTTTTTTTCCATTGCTTTCAGTGCACTGTGGATCCAGTCCTAGATGGATAACTAAGATTACCTCATCAGCAGAAAGTCAGTGCAGCCAGCTCTATGCACCCATGTCCCTCTCCTTTCCCCCGCTCCCCACCCTTAGTTGCATGGTTCACACTCTCACCTCACGCTGAGCAGCTGAGTGCCGACCGGTGTAACAAGAATTGGGGTGAGAAACTTGTCTGCGACATGATTTCTCCATCCCTCTTCTAGCCCGTGCTGGAGGCCATTAAGTCTAGATCATCTCAGATGGCTCTAGTCAAAATTAGATATATTGCAAAAACTTTTCAAATTGCAAAGCACGGTCTAACTTTTTACAGTTTTCAGTTGAAGTTGCTTCACTAGAGTAGGACTGCTCAATGTTTTTTAGGTAGGGCTTTACTGTCCCTGCCTTCTGTTCATTATCAACACTGTTGTTGCTGCTTGGGCCCTCAGCTGCCCATCCCTCACCTTCCCCCACAGACCTGCAAGGCCGCCGGTGCAGCCATTTGCAACCTTAGTCCTCTGTTGGACCCTCGTCCCCAGGGCCCGCAGTGGTGTTTTGTGTTTCGTCCAAGCGGCACGGTGCGGCCAAGAAACACCTGGGAGATGGGGGAGAGGAAGGGTGGAGCAACTCCGGTTCAAAATGCGATCTGCAGCAGCAGCAGTCAGCTTGGCATCCGCTCTGCCTTCCACCTCCGGTGTTGGCATTATGGCACACTCGGAAATGATGCCCACCACGTGAATGCACTTTTCATTGCGTGACGGTGCACTAAAACCGTGAGGAAAAGCTTTGGGAAATGAAATTGGAACATGAGAGACTGAGGTAGCAGCGATGACGGGGATGCAGGTCCTGTGCTTTGGCGTTAGGGGGCAGGACACCACTAGGTATGCGCTGCGCGGGGTTCTGCGTTTCACTTAAAGCTAGGAAAATTGAGGGTTCATTTTAAAGGCTTCCAGATTTTTCCAGAGTATTACGATAGTAAGATAACATTTAAATACCGTTTTACTTCCACTTACATGAATTACTGGCATGAGCACTGTTTAAGGCGCACCTAGGCACTCCTGAAGTGAGCTTTGTATTGGGTTCTTACTGGCTCTTAATTAAACAGTGACACAACCGTTTATGTTGAGCAGGCTTCAGAATCTATGCCCTGTATAAGCTGTGTGTTTTCAGTCTGAGCACAGAAACGTTCTCCCTTGTTTACTCCAGGTAAATTGTTCTTCTGCCCTCTCTCGCTGTCCTCCTCTCTCGCTGTCCTCCTCTCTCTCAGGGGTCTGTGCAGTCCTTCACACCGTCTCCAGTGGAGTATCATTCCTCGGGGCTCATATCCAACTCCCCGGTGCTGTCGGGGAGTTACAGCAGCGGCATCTCTTCGCTCAGCCGATGTAGCACGTCAGAGACGTCGGGCTTTGAAAGCCAAGGCAGCGAACCGACAGGGACTGTCCCCAGCTACAGCGTTTCTGAGGAGCCTGTGAGAAAAGAAAGTAAAACCCCGCCGCCTTACAGCGTATACGAGCGGACTTTGAAACGCCCCGTTCCTCTACCTCACAGCCTCTCCATCCCCCCCCCCGCCGACCCGCCGGCACTGCCGCCCAAGCCACAGCTGGTCCGGCCCAACAACCTGGAAAACAACAGCAGCAGCAGCAGGAGGACTGAGCAGGTGCCCCGGCCCAGGCCGCTGCCCCGCAAAGTCTCTCAGCTATGAGAAGCCACTTTTATATTTAATTGCAGCCAATTCTTTACCGTTTAAGAAATAATATTTTTTAAGAATGGTAAAACGCGTTTAGTTAGGCACTTTAATATTTCGCCCACCTTTTTCTTTTGAGTAATTTTGAAACGCTTATTAATATTATGTTGCACATTTTGAAATGAAATTACTAATTTAGGTTGCCAGATATTACAGGAAGCATGAATGAGAGGAATTTTTTTTTTTTAATTTTGTGGTGGTGAATACTGATAAATGCTTTTATTTGGACTTTATTTTTATTTAAAAAATTAAATCTAAAACCATACAACTCTCATCTGAGTTAGCCGAAGGCTTCTTACAAAATACAGAATATACTGACTGGATCTTTACTACTAGAGATAAGTGCACGCTTTCTAACAAAGTAGTCTGTAGACTAGGATGTTTCTGCAAGTAGGCTGAAAGTTGTTTCTCTTATCCGATGAACAGGTTGGTCATTTCAAATGTCTGTGGAAAACCTGAGATATAATGCAAGTTATACTGCAGAGAACTGTCGTAAGAATGTGGTTTGGAATATTTGAAACACACACTTGGTTTATGTTATTTTTTTAAGGTGGAAAAACACCTGCGTTTCATTCAGCGTACAGCACCGCCCTGGTGAATCCTGATAAGGTTTTGTGCCATTAGCCTATTACTGTACCTGACACATCGTTTTCTTTTTGAGGTGCAATTTACTTTTATTCTTCCAGTTAATGTTTTTGTTGTTGTTTTGGTTTTGTTTTTTAAAAAGCTAGCAGTTTGCTAGCGGAGGTTCTCTGCTGTTTTTGAAAGTTCACCCTAAAATACAATCTGTGTACAAGAATCAGTACTGACTAGCACCAAGGCAATATGCTAAATGAACAAATTTTTAAAAACGCAAATTACTGGATATCGATCAATAAATTTCAAAACCTAATTGCAAAGGTCATTAATAAATCTGTGAAAACCTAGCAAAAATTCTGAACAGCTCTTTGGATGTGTATGTACCAGTGGAGTCGGGTTTTGGATTTGCTTTTTAACTTGAGTTCATCACCATCATCTTTATTGTAGGAGAATGGTGTTTGGCCTTAGGTTGTATTTTAGTGACTGGCATCTGAAGAGCTCTGGAAAGCTAATGCCAAGCCGTAGGAATGTGGAGGGGAAAAAAAGAAAAAAAAGCACCTTCTGTATGTATTTTTTGTATCCTTTTCTTTTACTGACTGTTTTAACATGTGCTTGGGAACAGGTGTGTGAACTGCATTTTAAATCATGCTGTTAAAAAATATTCTCCCTCTTTTGTTGGGAAGCTCATGTTCATTTTAGCTGTGTGTTTGATTTGTTGATAGCTTAACTGGAAGAAAGTGACCACTTTTTATATTCTCTCAATTAAACCTTCAGCAGTTACAAGCTGTTGGCGGTAGTTATAGAGGTTTTCTATAATAAATGTTCAAGTATTTTTGTACATAATTGGTAAATTTTAATAAGGAGTGTACCATTATGTGAAAAAGAAGCAAACAGTTGTGTATGCAGTAAGATTGTTATAATTATGCCAAATACTTTATGTATGGAAAAAAGAATATTTGTAAATATGTGCTTTTAACAATAATTCTGCCATATTGACTTTACAATTTTGAATGTCAAAAAAATTAATATATGTTAAAATATTTATGTTTTAGTGAAAGTATTCATAACTTGAAAAGGAACATATGAATTTTAGCTTTGTATCTTGCTGATTTCAAAGTCTGAAATTCCTTGAACTAGCTCTCGCTTTCTACTATAACATTTTTGTGTCTGTAACCACATCATAAAAGCTGTAGAAGGCTACATATTTATGCTGATATAAAGAGGTAATGCCTGAGATTTAAATAAGGTGTCACAAATAAGGTAACAAAGCTGCTTTGATTTTATTTTTTTTTCCACCCCTGTGCAGTTTAATAGATTTTTGACTAGTGCTTGAGCACAGTATGAATCAGTGTTATTTGCTCCTGAAGCCATTTTTATTTCTGGCAGTGAGCAGGGTTGATGACTTTATCATTTGCGTGCATTACTGAAGTCAGCTTTGCAGCAAAACACTTCATGAAGTTTCTGTTTACCTAGACACTCATACTGGTTGCTGCATAATCTTAATATGAAATAAAAGGACTTGATTAATCTTTATAGTACAACTTGTTTTCTACAGAATGAGACATGATAATTCAGTTTGTCATGGAATTAAAGTTCTGACTCCTTGTCTTGCTAAATCCACTTTTCTTTCTGTTAAAAATCTCCTGATGGATCTGGTTTTCTCCCTATTTGGATCCGTAATTGCTTTGTGAGACAATGTGAAGAGTATTGACCTGCTCTTCTGAACAAGTGAAGAATGTAAAATTTACTAGGAGAGTTCACTGTAAATTAACCTGCATGAGCGCTCTGTTTTTATAACCGTGACATCAGGAATACTCTGAACCATAGCAGACGGTGTAAAATTGAGTACTCTTAAGACCGAGCTGACACATTTTCTGCTTAGCCAGTTTTGACAAATTGATTCTGTAGATCAGCTTTTCAACTCGATTTCCTATAACAAATGTAGTATGAAATTTTGTTATGTATGTTGCAACACCCAGCGCTTGAAAACCTAATGTAAATAAAGGTCTCGTTTGAATTTTATGTATTACTCATAAATGTAGTTTTATCACTTTCTGGATGACAGTGAGTAATTCAGAAGCTCATATAAGAGGACCTATGAGAACAAGTTGGTGTTACTACTCAATAGCTTGAATGTTAGCCAATGCATGCGTAATTGGTGAGATGATCTTCTATTCAAATACTGCATCTGAGATGCTGGTACCTCTGGGGTGCCACAGAAGCAACTGCAAACTCAGCTGGCTGGCTTTGAAACGGTGCAATTCAAACTGGTTCTCATGACGGGCTAATACCTCTGTAGTGTGAGTGAACTCAATTATCATGATCATGATTAGTCAGATCATAGCCCTGAGCCTGCGTCCTGAAAGAAGCACAAAGCTGAAGTTGCCCCTTGACAGTAAAGGTTTCAGGGTAGTGCAGATACGGCCCTGTCCACATGGAATGGGGTGTAAGTACGTGTAAATCTTCTCTTCTGTATGAAAGTGGCACCTTGCCCTCCTGCTTGACTATTCTTCTTGGTCACAGATTGTCCAACAGTGTCTGTAAAAAGCACAGTGACCAAACAAAACTTTACCAATAGGCAGGAGTCAATGTCTGAGGTATAACTGATGAAAAGCATCTTGTTTTGAGTGTAACGGGGGTCAGTGAGGCATGTAGCAGCACTGTATCAGTAACCCCAGGTGCTGACAGACACAGCTCTTTGCTCCAGAGCTCTGCTGGTAGCCCACAACACTCGGATGATCCAGGTGTAGAGCCCTGACATATGCTAGCCGAAGGGCAAAGCCCCATCTGCTGGGACAGTGTGAAAGGATGTTCACCACTGGAGCCCTTGATTCTGACCCTGAAGCAGATCCTGTAGGGGAAAGCCCTTTCCATATCAATTTAATTTGTCTTTATCTTTTCCCTGTCATTTTAATTCAGCTTTTGACATATATTTCATATAGGAAACTAGGATGATTAGTTGCTTTAGATAGCCCTAACAAAAAATCTTGTCATTAAACAGCTAAAATATGCAAGCCTTAGGAATATGAAAGGTTTAGAGCTGCGTACCTCACGTGTGCACTAAGCGTCAGGGTGGAGTGACTCTTTCTGGGTGGTGAAATAATACTGCTGAAAAAAGAACATTCAACTTTTTTTTTTTTTTTTTTTAAATTGGATTGTTCAGTAAGGAACTCGGTGTGCTTGTAATGACAGGCTGATGGCTTTGCAGACTTCCGTGGGGACAGAGCCTATGCCATGAGCCTCGCAGGCACGGCTGGGCAAATTCACCCAGGTTAGAACTTGTGTTAAGGATACAGCTCATAGCTCCTCTCTAATTGACTGGTGCTGGGTTCGTATTTATTTCGGGAAGATTGTGTTAGAAGAAGGGAGATGAAGGTGAACAGTTGGAAAAAATGGGAGGAAGGCCGTTAAAACTAGGCAAACCCCTTGATGCCTGGATAATTAATCCAAGTGTGTTTCACCCACCCAGGAAAAACAATAGTGGGAGAAATTAAAATATTAGCTAAAATTGAAGCATCAAGTCTATTTCTTTAAGCTAGTGTAGCATCATTTTATACCAGTTTAACTGGTTGAGCTAAAGAGGGCAGAAGGGAAGTTGGAAGTCCTGACAAAATACAGGAGTTTCTTATTTTATTTTACAATTGCTCTGGAGTTTGGGGGATTTTTTCCTCTTCTGCTATGGCTTGCCAAAGGAAAGATTCCAGATGACATAGAAGCATGCCCATGAATCACAAGGGCAAAGAGTTTCTAAATCCTAAAGCCCTGCAAAATATTAAAATAGTTCCCTCGTTTTGCTAGATGTTTTTTTTTCTTACCCCGTGGTGTATAATTGATAGTGTATTTTGCAATGAACATCTCGGGATTTTAGGGAGCAAATCCATGTCCAAATTCCATAGGAAATAGATGCTCTGATAGCTCATAAGCTGCTGAAATTTTGGTTATATATTTAAATGTTTTACATCATTGATTTGCTATGGGTATTAGATTCAGTAGTGTATTTCAATTTGTTCCATTTCCTAAGAAATTATTTTGCAGAGGGATTCTCTGCATTACATTCTTGCTTATTTGTGACAGACTGCTATTGTTGTTGGTTTTCCTTGACCTCACCGACTTCTCTTGAAGTGTTTCCTCTTGCTTTTCAAAAGAAAGGCCGTCAGCGAGGAGCTGCTTCAGCCTTTCCCGTGGGGAATATTTCAGAAGTGCAGCCTGAAGGGGACTCGGCACAGGCATGCATCCACATCTGCTCCCGGGAGGAGCATCACGGGGGCCTTCGGAACAAAAACGGGCGGGAGTTTACCCGTAGAGCATCTGTAGGATTTTGTGTTCACAGACATAGTGATAGCTCAAGGACAGGGACTAAACTAATTTACTAAAACCAGAAGGTGGGGTGTAGGTAATGTCCTGCAGGGACTAAGCCTTGCCAAAGAGTGTCCCAGCATACACTGTAAATGGAAATCCTTTGCCTTGTTTCCTGATCCTCCTCTTGTCACAGAAAAAATAGGTAGATACACCTTTT